AAGTGAAGAAAATGTGATTCAGATTCACTGAAATACCGAAATTCAGTGCCTTTGAACAGCTCTGCAGGTGAGCTACTGGTGAGAACAACCACATTGTTCTGTCAGTGCTGTCCTAACAAGCTAAATGGCATCCTGTTTAGCTTGCCTGGTCTTTTTCCACCTCCAGCACTGATGGCTTATTGTTCTAGGAAGCACATGCCATAGGGCCAGTAAATGGATGTGTAATCAATGGGTGAAACAGGGACAGGAAACATTTGAAAATTCTTTTCCTTTTGTGGTCTCATGCAGTGTTATTTCTTTTCTGACCTACAGCTCTAAATCTGGCAGACGTTAAAACTGTAACTCATTTTTCTCTTCCCTTTGTTACATTTGTTGCATACATGATCTACCGGCTTTCCTCGAGAAACTAAAATGTAGTTTCATGAACAAATTACCAGACTCCGGGCTTAATTATTCCAGTGGGGAACAGCATGAAATAGTGCTCTGTGTATTGGTTTCTAAACAATCCATCTGCTTCTGGCATGGCCAGAACAGCCGGTATGTAGGGATAGGTCCTTTCCTATAAGATTGGTGCTTTAAAGCCGATAAGACCCCAGGCTTGTTTTGTCTCAAGTAACATTAGAAAGGAGGAAAGAGAAGGTGAGAGAGCTCAAGAAACCAATCCAAGGCTGTAACTAAGGAAAGCAGCTCTGAGAGGAGAATACCGGGCTTTCAGCCCCAGTCCCTATGCTGCGTTCTAGGTGCTCCATGCAGCTGTTCATCATCATGCATCCTAAACCAGGTTAAAACTCATACTCAAAGCCAGGTGTGCTAGAACATGCCTGAACTCCCAAGAGGATCACAGGATCTAGCCCAGCCTGGGAAACTTAGCAAATTAGCCAGACCATCTCAAAATAAACCGTTTTCATAAAAGGAGCTGGGAATATAACTGTAGTTCAGTACAAAGACCCTGGGTTCAATCTTTATGACTGAAAAAAAGGCTATTCAGCTGAATTAAGCACACAAATGCCACAAACCAATTTTTAGTAGATGGCTGAAAGAAATCCTTACTTCAATGACTTTGGTGCATAAACACATTCACCTAAAAGATCTCTTCCTACAAACTTGAGTCATGGCAAGCCCTATCCTTAAATTTGTTCAAATACCCCAGTTAATGCAGATAAAAATAAAAACAAGCTTTCACTTTTATTCAGTAAGACAAGAAATGTGCATCCTTCCATTCAGTGCTCCTCCCCTCCCATCTCTTCAACTTCTTGTCACTGTTATTTTTGTTTCCTAATAAAAATTCATTTAAGAATGATAGTATATGAATTATTTAACTAAATCTAATGGACAAGAATCCTAAACACTGTTCTCTGTACCCTCTTTACTTAATTTGTTGTAAAGTTAAAAATATCAGAAGTGAGTGGCTTCAGGAGCTGGAGGAAGGAGAAATCAGAGCAGGCTGAGAACTTGAATATCAGCCATTGGTAACAATCTGCTCCCTGACATTCCATCCTTCTCGCCTCAAGTTAGACAACAATGTTTACTTCACAGAGCTGTCCGGAGAGTTACTTGGGATTCTGCATACTCAAAATGATAAAAAAAAAAAAACTTATACATGTGGCCTTACATTAGTCTCACAAAAACCCTATGAGACAGGCACACTCCACTTTTCAGAAGATATAATCCATGCCAAAACTTAGTAAAAATCTAGTCTTTACTAAACATGTAATAGCTAAAGTTTTGAGAATAAACAACTCCCCAAATCATGTAGCCGATAAATAGAAGAATTAAGAGCTATAAACACAGACTATCTGAAGCCACAGTCTGCACTTTTTACAACTACATCTAGTTTCTCTTTAATAACTGCCCACAGGCTGATGAACTTAGGGAAATAATTTTTTCTGAATATTGTCTTGCTTTCCTGATCCTCAGGACATCTAGTGTCACTATTCAACGAACTACCTCCTTCAATTTCTCACTGATGACTCATGAAAATCTCTTTTAACATCACAGTTCTCAAATTCCTACCATTCTCATATCTTTCACTTTATATCTATTCGGATTCCTTTGTTGTCAGGAACAAAGACATCTAACTCAATTGGTAGCAAAGACAAGCTCAGATTCTGCAGCTATATAACTTCCTGGACCCGTTTTCTTCCTCTCATTTCACTCTGCCCTCTAGACATTTCCCCTAAAGGTGATTTCCCTTGGAATTGTCCATAACTCCAAGGGCAACAAAATCCATCTTACACATGTAAGATAGAAAATGGCTCTCTACTTTTGGGGGCTCTCCCGTAAGAATGAGAACTTTGCTTTCCAGAAGAGCTTAGCAGGCTCCCCTGACATCTGCTTCTTCTGGTGCTGGGCAAGTGGTCATCCAGTGAGAATTCCTGGATGGGTTGGGATTCTGCTGACTTCTCAGTGCCTCATCCAAATGGCCCTCATTGCAGCAGTAAGACACTACCACAGAGATCATGAACAGGAAGTGTGACTAATTCAAGGAAAATAAAAATCACCACCAAAATGCTCTGCTAAATTCCCCAAGTTCACATCAACACTACCACCAGAATCCTAGCCACATCACTGTTAAATCCTGAAACTGTGATATAGAAATTTGGTTGTATTTAAAGATGAAAACCTGTGTTCCAAAGGTTGCTTTACTAGCAAGAAACTTCATGGGCTACAATCCTAAATAGCATCATTGTTATTTATGTGTACATATATGTTATTTTTAATTATTTAAAAGAAATGACCTTGGGAGCTGATTAATGAGAAAGATAATCTTTTTATTAAGTACAGAAATAATGCATTTAGCTGATGTAAACATAAGTAAAGTCATGTCAAACTTGTAAGAAAGCCAAAGAAGACAAAAAAGAAGAAAAGAAAGCAAAAATAAGAGGAAGGAAGAGACAAAAATATTACTGGGTTATTTATAAGTAGTCAAAATAATCAAAGTAGACCCATGGCCAGTAATTAATGATCTTTACCAAAGAATGGATCCTGCATAGATAGAATTATTGTTGCTGTTTCCTAATAGACAATTCCAGAGAAATCTTTCTGCTGGCTGTGAAATCACTTTGCTGTGCCTGGGTAATTTTTTTTTTTGTACTGGGGATTGAACTCACGACCTTGGGCTTTTGAGGCAGGCATGGTGACACTGAGCTACATTCCCTGCAGTAAACTCCATAGAATGTGTTAGCTGGGAAATGTAAATATCAAACATCACTTTCTTTTTAGCCTATCCTCCCATTGAATGATTCCATTCAAGCTAAAACTCACCTGTTTCAAGGAAATCATAGTTTTGTAAATTGAGATACTTGAGTTTTATCTAGATTATCCCAGAGATGGGACCTGTGCTCAAAGACACAGTGACTGCCCACAAGTATCATTCTGTTCTTACCATGGGAGGCCTAGGCTTTCACTTCAGTGATCCCCAGGATGGCTCCTAAGGTCGAGTTGGTCTCTACTCCAGGGAGCCCTCCATGTCATCATCTGATGAATCCTTCTTAACTTCCTTCTGATCCTTCTCCAATCACTAAACTGTAAAGCAATCAGAGCACATCTACCTAGTCATATTATCTCCAATTATTCACTCATGTCAACCTTGCATGGTCACTAACCAGTCTGCCAACTGGCCTTTGCCTGAACACAAGGGTATTTTCCCACTGCTAAGCCTGTGACTGTGTTGTTCCATTCACCTGAAATTACTTTCTCCTTACACTTCCCCTGGTCGTATGAGAATACAAAATTCCTTTTCATGTGTGGAAAGCCAGCTCAAATTTCTAAAACCTTCTCTTCTCATTGAGCTCAGAGAGATCCCTTCCTGCTGTAACTCACAAGAGCAATGGATCCATGCTCATCTCAGGCATTTAGTAAACTAAATGTTAGGTACTGGGATTCTCGATATAAACCTTGCCCACACAATTGGAAAGATGATTCACCGTGTTATCCACAGTGCCTTGCTCATAATACATACTAGTGTTTCAGAAGTTTGTACATTATGCTGTTTATATTTTGGATATATGATGTTTTTAAAGCAAGTGTTTTGTGTTGGACATAGTGTCAAACACCTGAATTCCCACCTGAGGCTGAAGAAGGAATATTGCAAGTTCAAGGCCAGCCTCAGCAACTTAGTGAGACCTTGCATTTCAAAATAAAAAATAAAATGCAATAAAAGGGTTCAGAATGTAACTCGGTGCTAGAGCACTTGCCTACCACATGCAAGGCCCTAAATTTAATTCCCATTTCAATGATAATATGAAAACAAAGAAACTACTCCAAACCAAACCCATCTTGTCTTCATTATCCTTCATTATCTTTTTCCACAGTCCTTCCCACTTTAATAACAGCAAGCCCATCAGGCATGTTCAGGCCCTACCTCAGCCTTGAGTTGTTTCTTACTCTTGTTCTTCATATGCAGAAAACTATGGAAATGTGAATATCACAATAGATCCAGAATGGCCCTCCTTCTCACATCGTATGCTAACACTCTTAGCCAAGTCTCCATCTCTCACTGCACAGCCTCTGCACCATCTCCCTGAATTCTGCCTTTCTTGCTGTAATCCTTTCTTCACACAGCTTTTCACTTCTCTATATAAAACCTTCCAAATGCTTCCCAGGTAATTCAGGACTGAAACCAAAGCCCTCAGAATGATCTCAAAGGTCCTGTGTAGCTGTCTTACTGTGGAGACCAAATTGACTCCGTTTTGCTAATTAAATAGTTCTCAGAAAAACCCATTACTGTTCCCATAAGTTGTCATCAGATGTTCTCTTTTGTTAATCTTGTTAGGACAAGGAGGGACATCTGGCCTAGGTCAATTAAGCATTGAGAAAACACACACACTTGCAAAATGTTAACCAATCAAGCATTGACCCATTTAGAAAGCCCCTAGTTCTGCTTCTCTGCTAGTATAAAAGGCTGTTTGAAATCAGTCTCAGGGCTCTCGGTATGAATCCTCTGTGTTGGTGAGGTCTGAGAGTCCAGGCTCGAGCTTGCAATAAACTCCTCATGTGATTGCATCGGACTTGACTCCTTGGTACTCTTTGGGGGTATTTCAATCTGGGCACAACATTTGGGGGCTCATGTGGGATCCCCAAGACGACAGGACTCAATCCCAAGGAGAACAGCCAGCTAATCAGGTGAATCTAAGTGTCTCTTTTTGTTGTTTCTGAAACCTTACAAGGGAATCTGAAAAGCCAACTGAGGGCCATGGAGGATGCGCTAGATGGTGTCTGACAGGCAGGGGTCTTGGAATACATTCCAGGCCCCTCTGAGTAGGGATGGAGAGCCCTACGTCTGTTTTCTGAAAAGGCAAAGTGGGTCACTCCCACTGTATGGCATTGGGCCATCGCCTCTGTTTTGGTTTTGCTTTTGGTACTGTGTGTGTGCGTGTGTCATTTGTGCTTGGCTTTGTGTTTGTTGTGTTGACAGAAATGGATGTGGACAGAATGAGGCAGTGTCAGACTACCCCCCTTTCTCTTATGGTTAAACATTTCCAAGAGGTTAAGACATGGGCTCATGACTTGTCAGTGGAAATTAAGAAAGGGAAATATCAGAATATGTATGAATCAGAATGGCTAACTTTTGGGGTTGGATGGCCCCTGGGAGGCACTATAGATTTGAAAATTGTTCAGAAGATGAAGAAAATTGATTTTCAGAGCCATCCTGACCAAATCCCTTACATTATTGTTTGGGAAAATTTAGTGTTTAACCCCCTGTCTTGGTTACAATCTTTCCTTACCTTCCAGCAGCCACCAGCTCCAGTACTGGTCACCAAGATGAAAGAGAAATCCAAAAACCGCTCCAAAAAGCCGAGCCCCCCCCCAACCCACCTTTGCCTTTGCAGGGGAAAATGATCCGGAACTAACCCCCACCCCACCGCCATACTGAACCTCCTCCCAATCCAGAGCCAGCCCCGCCTGCCCAGGAGGAGAGTGCAGCAGTTAGGACCAGCCCAGAACACATGGCAGAGACAAGCCCCATTGTCCTTGGGCCCAGAGGATTCCACAGTTTTACCACTGCGAAAAGCTGGGTCCCCGGATGAACAAGGCAATCAGAATATGCATTACTGGCCATTTGCCACTAGTGATCTATATAATTGGCGATCCCAAAATGCCAAGTTTTCAGATAACCCTAGAGATTTAACTGATCTGTTATAAACTGTTTTATTTACTCATCAGCCAACCTGGGATAATTTCTAACAATTGCTTTGCATATTGTTCACTACTGCAGAAAGAGAAAAGATCCTAATAGAATCTAGAAAGTTGGTCCCAGGAGAGAATGGAGAGCCAACAATAAATCCAGGTCTTGTTAACCAGGCTTTTCCCTTGTCCAGACCTGACTGGGACTACAACACAGCTGAAGGTAAGGAGCGACTCCGGGTTTATCGCCAGACTCTATTAGGGGGTCTCCTTGAAGCTGCTAAAAGGCCCACAAATTTGTCTAAGGTAGGTAGTGTACAGCAGGAATGGGACAAAAGCCCATCTGCCTCTTTGGAGAGAATAATGGAGGCTTTCCACAGATACACCCCTATGGATCTGGAAGCCCCAAATCCCAAGCAGCTATAGTAATGGCCTTCATTAATCAAGCTACTCCTGATATAAAGAAGAAACTACAAAAGATAGAGAGACTAGGTGAAAAGTGTGTCCAGGATTTAGTACTGATAGCTGAAAGTCTACAATAACAGAGAAGCCACTGAAGACTGCCAGACCCAGAAGTTAGCTCAGGTCCTAGTGGCAATGTCCCTTGCAGAGCCACAGGGAAGGAACTGAATATTAAAGAACCCTGGTAAACGGAAAGTGTCCCGGCCCCTCCTAGACAAAGATCAGTGTGCTTACTGTAAGGAAAAGGGCCACTGGATTAAAGAATGCCCAAAGAAGTTCAGAAAGAAAACCCCCATCTTAACTGTGAAGGGGGATAGTGACTAGGGGGGATGGGGCTCAGAAACCCTCCCTGAGACTAGGGTAACTCTTAAAGTGGAGGCAAAAAAGGTTGAGTTCATGGTGGACACTGGAGCTCAACATTCAGTTCTATTACAACCCCTAGGAAAAATTTCTGAAAAGACTTCCTGGGTACAGAGAGCAACAGGTATCGAGAAATATAAGTGGACAACTCAGAACAGTGGACCTGAGCACCAGCCAGGCATCCCACTCATTCATGATAATCCCAGAATGCCCCTACTCTCTCTTAGGGAGGGACTTTTTAACGAAGTTGGGTGCCTGAATTCACCTTCAACCAGAAGGTGCCCAAGTATTTGATAGAATTGGAAGGCCTGTCCGCATATTGAATGTTCAACTTAAAGATGAATATAGACTCTACCAACGGGCACCCACTTTGGGCTCATTAACCCAGAAAGGCATTACATTTTGGCTTGAAAATTTTCCCAGGGCTTGGGCATAAACAGGAGGAATAGTATTGGCCAAGCATAGGGCACCAGTGTTCATTGAGATCAAACCTGGTGCTGACCCCGTTCAGGTTTGCCAGTATCCCATACCCCTTACATCTTGACAAGGCATAAAGCCACACATCAGAAACCTGTTGAAACAAGGGGTGCTGAGGCCATGCCAGTCAGCCTGGAGTACCCCTTTTTGCCCATGAAGAAACCTAATTCAAATGATTATCAGCCAGTTCAGGACCTCTGAGAGGTGAATAAGAGAGTGACTGACATCCACCCTACTGTGCCTAATCCTTATACTCTCTTGAGTTCATTACCTCCCTCCCACTAATGGTATACAGTATTGGACTTGAAAGATGCTTTCTTTAGCCTTCCATTGGCCCCCAAAAGCCAAGCCATATTTGCCTTTGAGTGGCTGGACCCAGATGAAGGAATTAATGGACAACTGACTCGGACTAGACTGCCTCAAGGGTTTATGAACTCATCCACCATCTTCAATGAGGCCCTACATGAAGACCTGGGTGAGTACCGCCAACAAAATGCTCATCTAACTCTGCTCCAGTATGTAGACTTTCTTCTTACAGCAGCAGAATTCCTCCCTCAGATTCTCCTCACAAGGTAAGAGAATTCTTGGGGTCAGTGGGATTCTGCCGCTTATGGATTCCAGGATTTGTAGAATTGGCCAGACCCTTGTACGCAGTGACTAATGACCAGCAGGCCTTCCAATGGACAGAGACTTTACAAGAGTCTTTTGAAAAGATCAAAGCTGTGTTGTTGAGTGCACCTGCACTGGGCCTGCCAGATGTAACCAAGCCCTCCCACTTATATGTGGATGAGAGCAAAGGAATAGCTAAGGGAGTTGTGACTCAATACCTAGGCCCATGGTGAAGGCCAGTAGCCTACCTGTCAAAGAAACTTGACTGCGTGGCATCTGGATGGCCACCCTATTTGCCATGGGGCAACAAATGTATGTGGTCACCCCCCATGCCACTGAGGGGATAATAAAGCAGCCCCCAGATAGATGACTAATCAACGCACGGCTGACTCATTACCAAGGCCTCCTTCTCAATCCTGCCAGAGTTATTTTTCAGCCTCCAGCTGCCTTGAACCCTGCCTCCCTGCTGCCCGACCCAGACATGGATGCTCTACTCCATGATTGCAGAGACGTACTGGCTCAGGTACATGGCAACTGGGTGGACTTGAGAGACCAACCATGGCCAGATGCAGAATTGACTTGGTACACTGGTGGAAGTAGCTTTATGCGCGATGGACACAGGTATGCAGAGGCAGCAGTGCTGACAGAGAATGAGATAATTTGGGCTGAGCCTGTCCCTGCTGGGACCTCAGCACAATGGGCAGAACTTATAGCCTTAATTCAGGCTTTGACTTTGGGAAAAGGAAGAAAACTAAATGTTTACATGGATAGTAGATATGTTTTTGCCACTGCCATATCCATGGGGCCATATACCAGGAAAGGAGGCTATTGACTGCAAAAGGAAAGACTATAAAAAATAAAGAAGAAATTTTGGCTCTGCTAAAGGCCCTATGGCTACCAAAAAACTTGCCATAATCCACTGCCCAGGCCATCAAAAAGGTGATAGGCCCATGGCCAGAGGCAATAATCCAGCAGATTGAACAGCCAAGGAGGCAGTCCTTCATGCCCCAGAGATTTTGGCCTTACCGCTACCTGACCCAGGAACCTTAGCTCTCCCTGAGGAAGGGGAATATTCAGACACAGACATGGTATGGATTAAGCAGTTACCCACAGCCCATTTGGTTGAGGGATGGTAGAGATTGGACAACAGAACTGTTGTACTGCCTGAAAAATTAGGGGACCACTTGCTCTCAAATCTCCACTGAGCCACCAATATGCGAGAGAGGAAAATGCAAGAACTGATTCAGAGGTCTCAGGTCAAAATAAAGAATGTTTCTACTAAGGTGAAAGAACTTGTCTCATCCCTGCAGAGTCTGTAAGATGACCAGTGAGACTCATACCAAGAATAATCGGGCCACTGAATGAGAGGAAATAGGCCTGGAGTCTACTGGGAGATGGACTTTATGGAGGTAAAACCAGGGAAATGTGGTTACAGGTATTTACTAGTATTTGTAGACACCTTCTCAGGATGGACAGAAGCCTTCCCCATCAAACATGAAACCTCCAGGATGGTGACAAAGTGACTGCTAGAAGACATCCTGTCCAGGTATGGATTCCTGGTAGCTTTAGGATCTGATAATGGACCAGCTTTTGTCTCTAAGGTAAGCCAAGAACTAGTCCAGGTATTAGGGGCCAATTGGAAATTACATTGTGCTTATCACCCCCAAAGTTCAGGACAGGTAGAAGGGATGAATAGGACCCTAAAAGAAACCTTAATTAAATTAACCCTGGAGACTAGTGGTGACTGGGTGTCACTCCTCCCCTTTGTACTGTATAGGGTGTGTAACACACCCTATAAATGGGGATTGACTCCATTTGAAATAATGTTTGGTATTCCTCCTCCTATTATTCCTAACCTACGTCAGGAAACCTTAGCTGAATTTGAGGATCAAGAATTGCTTAACTCCTTGTATGGTATCCAACAGGTTCATAAGGAGATCTGGCCTAAACTTAAGACATTGTATGAATCGGCCCCTACACCTACTCCACATGATTTTGAACAAGGAGATTGGGTCTTGGTAAAACGGCACCAATGAGACACCCTTGAACTTCACTGGAAAGGGCCATATGTGGTCCTATTGACCACGCCCATAGCAATCAAGGTGGATAGGATCACTACATGGATTCATCATACTCATGTGAAGAAAGACACCACCCCTTGTTCATCTCGTGGATCGCCCAATTGGAGAGCTACCAAAGATCCTGAAAATCCTCTAAAGCTAAGAATTGTCAGATACTGATTTTACTGTTAAGCTGTAGCCCAGTAGTTTGAGTTGTTATGGGCTATTGTGAAGCTTTTGTTACTTTGTCCTTACTAGATTTGTTTAGTTTCTGCTTAAGTTTTCACTATTGATGGGGTTAAGCTGTACTAGCCCTGCTAGAAACCTTGATGTGAGGCCACCTAATAGGTCCCCAAGACCCCTTCAGGAACTGGCGGCTTGACAACTACTTGCCAAAAGCCAGACAGAAGGTTGAAGCCGAACTTGAGGCCCAACAGAATTGGAATTGACATTATAGCTGTAGGGGACCCAAGAAATAATCCCCATGCCCTAGGTTCCACATCACCCCCACTCAGCAGTAAGTAGGCTAATGAGGACAGTGCCCCCGTTCCCATGATTGGGTCCCTTAAGCCTCTTGAGAAGGGGGGAATGTGAAGACCAAATTGACTCCATTTTGCTAATTACCTAGTTCTCGAAAAAACCCATGACTGTTCCCATAAGTTGTCATCAGATGTTCTCTTTTGTTAATCTTGTTAGGACAAGGAGGGACATCTGGCCTAGGCCAATTAGGCATTGAGAAAACACACACACACTTGCAAAATGTTAGCAAATCAAGCATTGATCCATTTAGAAAGCCCCTAGTTCTGCTTCTCTGCTAGTATAAAAGGCTGTTTGAAATCAGTCCTGGGGCTCTAGGTACAAATCCGCTGCATCGGTGAGCTCTGAGAGTCCAGGCTCAAGCTTGCAATAAACTCCTCATGTGATTGCATTGGACTTGACTCCTTGGTGGTCTTCGGGGATATCGCGATCTGGGCACAACACTACACAACTGCCCTGCTTCCTTTTTTGTCAGTATACTGTATGTTTGTGACACATAGTGAATTACATTCAGCTCAAGTTTTAATAAATACACATATTGCATCGCCATCATCTTTACTCCCAGTGGCTTGCCCTGTCTTCCCCTCTCCCTCCTTTCCCAGATCCCTTTTCCATCTCCACAGTGTGTACCTCTCTGTTCTTAACATGGCTCTTTTATTTTGCTCCTTAAGTTATTTATACTTTGTGTCTTTTATATTAGAGAAGCTATATAATATTTAACCTTTTATGGCTGACTTATTTTACTTAATATCATGGTCTCAATATCCATTCATTTTCCTACAAATGGCTCAAATTTGTCCTTCTTTATGGCTGAGTAGTATTCTGTTGTGTATATATAATAATTCTTTTACTCATTCATCCCTTCATAGGCATATAGGTCACTTCTATGATTTAGCTCTTATGATTTGTGCTGCTATAAACATGGGTGTGCATATATCAGTGTACTGTGATGACTTTAGTTCTGTTGGCAAGATAACCATAAGAGGTGTACCTGGGTCAAATTCAATTTCTATTTTTAGTGCTTTTTTTTTTTCAGAAATCTCCATACTGACTTCCAAAGTGGTTGTACTAATTTACATTTCCTCTAACGATGTAGAAGGATTCTTTTTTTCCCCTACACCCTGGCCAGAATTTGCTGTTTACTGACTCCTTGATAATGGCCATCCTTACTGGCATAAGATGGAATCTTGGTGTTGTTCCATTTTGCATTTCTCTAATGATCAAAGATGCTGAACACTTTTTACGTTATTTATTGACAATTTGTACTTATTCTTCTGAGAAGAGTTTATTCATTTCAATTGCCCAGTTGGTTAGGTCTTTTATTTTTGGTAGTGTTTATTTTTAAGGAAGTCTTCTATTTTTAAGTTCTTTATATATTCTAGCTATTAGTCCTCTGTCAGGAGTAGCTGGTAAAATTGTTTCTATTCTGCTTCCCCTTCAGGTTTTCCCCATTGACTATAATGTTGGCTGTAGGTTTGTCACCAACAGCTTTTTATCATTTTAAGGTAAGTTCTTTCTACACCAACTTTCATCAAGTTTTTTTTTTTAATCATGCAAGAATGTTAGATTTTGTCTTTTCTGCATCTATTGGAATGATCACATGATTTGTGTCCTTCCTTCTGTTTGTGTGACGTGATACATTGAATGATTTATGCGTGCTGGACTCCCCTTGCATCCCTGGGGTGAAACCAGTCTAATGATGATCTATGATCTTTCTGAAGGTTTTTTTTTTTTCTGTTTGAAAGTTGTTGAGGATTTTTGCATCTGTGTTCACTAAGAAAATTAGTCTCTAATTTTTTTTTTTTTTTGTCCTTGTGCAGTTTTGGTATCAGAGCAGTACTGCCTTCAAGAAATTTGGCAGTGTTCCTTGACTTAAATTTCATGGAAGAGCTTGAGAATTATTGGCATTAATTCTTCTATGATGTTCTTGTAAAACACAGTGGTGAACCATCAGTTCCTGAGCTTTTCTTACTTGTTGACGTTTTTATCACTACCTCTATTTCATTGCCTGTTATTGGACCATTTATATTCTCTTGTTTTGGTTTTGATAATTCATGTGTGTTTAGGAATCTATCAATTTCTTCTAGATTCTCTAATTAATTAGAATATAGGCTTTTGAAGTATTTGCTTACAATCATCTGGATTTCAGTGATGTTTATTGTGACTTTGTCTTTTCGTTTCTACTTGCATTGATAACAGGTTTTTTCTTTCCTTCTTTTGGTAAATTGGCCAAGAGTTTATTTTGTTT